TAAAATTATCCAGTATAATATTACCTTGCGCACATCCATTTCGGGCCCATCCTTGGTAACTAACAAATCAAAACTCAGAATAACAAATCACTTCAGCAGTGCAGTAAGAACGACACTTTAGAACCCTCTTGTTACACTCAATTTGCGCTTTTGTTTTCATCTTTTGTTTTCATATTTTGTAATCTGGCAATCTTTCTGCGAAAACATTTTTAAATCATTCTTGAAAAATATCCGTCCATGTAAGTTGAACTGATTTTGCTGCTCGCTTTATAGTCCCCCCTTTTTAATGTTTTTTCTTTTTATTTCATTTTATTATCTGTTTTTACATGTTTTCTACATGTTTTCTAAATTTTTTACATGTTTTCTAAATTTTCTACATCATGTACTATTTTTGAAACAATTGTGAGCCATTCAATCGGGGTTTTAGGTTCTTTTAAAACCAAAAGTGTTTTAATTTGGGGAGGCAAATCTATAGATAGACCCTCAATTATATGATCATTACTTAAATGTATTCTTCTACCTAACTTTACCTTTTCAGTAAAATATGAGTTAAGGTCTTTAGCTTGGCCAGAAAATTTTAAATTTTGAAAATCGTTTAAGCCAAAGGGAGGGGAAGAATAATGTTCTTGAAAAATTTCAACTATTTCCTGATATGAATTACAATTAAGGCAGTTATTAATATACAATTTCAAAGCTGAACATTTAATGAATTTTTGAAAATTTCGAACTTTTCATTCGTCATTTAATTTAGCATCTAAAGTCTGTTTCTCGAAATGTTTGAGCCAGGATGTGAATAGAACACCTACCTCAGGCTCAAAGATAAGTATGTCTGGTTTATCCTGTACATTTTGATCCATATTAAATTTGTAATTTTTGCCACTCAGTAAGGGCATTCAAATAACCAAAATAAATTTTAATAATTAAATACAACATTTAGAAGGAAGAAAAATAAATTTAAATATATGAATAGTACATATTTTGCTTTTTTTAAACACCATAATAAAATAAAAATTTAAATTTTACTTCCCCAATCAATATAATATACACTGTGATATATAATGCAATATAAAAAGTGATTCCTTAAATAATAATATAAAACTATAACCATACTGAATCAAAAGTGAAAAAAAAAAATATGTGATAACACTAAATTTTAATATCATTATTTAATTTAAAGAAATAATATTATAAACCATTGAATAATGATATCAATAAATGGAAATATTATCAAAATATAAATATCAATAAATAATTATAAAATTATTGGAACAATAAATATAAAATTATATGTTTCTATTTCAAGATATGAGCGTAAATAATTCAAAAGTATTCACGTTTAAAAACTTAAACTGGTATAGAAAATTTTGAGTGTAAATACCAATCACATCTGTATTTAATCACCAATAAATCCCTTCTAATATTTGATGAATCACGCGCACACGCGAGCGGAATTATAGCCACCACTTGAAATCACATTTTTGGTCATCTTCCGTTCAAGGAAACACAGAACACTCGAGAAAATCGCCGAAAAACGAAATCAATACGATCATATGCTGAACCTTTGTCAACCCTCAATGAGACCGACAAGCAGCAACACAGCAAGCACATGCTGTAAATCCGCAAGAGGCTAATTGTTGATAACGGTAGGCGAAAATAAGCAAAACAGCGATGACATCAATTCTCTAACGGCGATTCCGGTACAAAGGTAGAGGCAACGTCTGGACCCATTAAGAAGGAAAGTCCCGAAATTCTCTTCTTTTAATTTTATGGCATCATATTCTTTTAGTCAGGATAATATCTGTTTCACGAGCAACGCCGTCATTTCCCAAAACTTCATTCGATTGTTTTCTTCTTTCCTTTTATATTCATAATTTTTTTAATTTTTTTTTTTACTTATTTGAAGAAATCATTTTTAAAATAGAACCAGTGAAAAAAAAAGTGCCAAACCAACTGCAAAAAATTCTGCCGGCTTGTAAGGGTAGCAGTCATGGTGAGTGTTGTTAGGCCACGCAGATAGCAGTTGGAAGGCAAAAAATATTTTATTAGCTTCACATAGTATATTTAAGACATTTTCTAGCAAAGGCGGAGCTCAAATTCGCACTCAAAAACTGTGTGCTTAAGTTTTTATCTTAGGGAAAGTAGCAAAGGAATTTCCCTCTATTTTGTTATATTTGAGGGGAAAAGGGAAGTGATAAGGATTACTATTGGTTTATGAAAGAAATCTAGC